GTCTACTGCTGGCACCCGTGTGCAGGTTCAGCCGTCGGTTTCACGCATGCTGTGAGCGGTACCGGGTGACCATGAAGCATGTCGAAGACATCTTTCGGCTGTAAGATGATCTGCGGCTACCCCCTCGAGCCTCACCCCACCATCCACGCCGATGAGACCGATCCGCCCGAGAATTACCGGTTGCTCAAGATACCGATCTCCCTAAGTGATTTGCGGCCGATGGCATCTCCTGCTTCTTCCAGCAAGGTACTAGAGGAATTGAACACGTGAGCCTTCCGGTTCTACTCGCGTCTTGCGGATGCGGACAACGGTCGTGATTGCCTTTAACCAGACGAGCTCGCGGTCTTGTTTTGCGCTCGCTTTGCTCGCCCCATTTGGCACGCACCAGCATCCCCACCGGCATGGCCACAATTAAATGATATTTGGGCAGTCAGGTGGCGCCATCGTCGACACAAGTGCTGTCTCACTTCTGAGCGACACGATGCGGCTCATCATGGCAGCTTATCTCGTGTCCCACCAAGTCTTCCACAACGATGACGCTATCGCCCTGCCTTCCCAACGGTCCCCCAAATCTCCTGGGTGCTTCTATCGATACGCTGTGGGATCGAGCTGGGGACTTTATGGTTCATAACTAGAAGGCTGATGCACTCTGACTTGGTCTCTCTACCCATACACTCTGCATTCTTTTGGCATCGAGGCGCTCGTCGGCCTTGTCGAAAGTGCGTGGCCATCGAGATCAGAAAGAGATTGAGCGAATGAGAAGCGGCCACGAGCGACGAGCAGAAGAGCAACGATATCTTGGAGGGGACCAGGATTGGGCTCCCTTGGCCATTTGTCGATCATTGTGATATAAAGATCAACACGGGACACAACATCGAATGAAGCATAGGAGAAAGGCTTATCGGAGAGTGCCCTGCCACAATAAGAGCCATCGAATCGGCATGATATGGCCGTGGCCGCAGGGACCGGTGAACTCGTCTCTCAAACACTTCATTCAAGGTTTATATTGAAATGTGCTCTCCATCGGGAAGGGTACTATAAAATCTTTTCTATAGTACTGCTCCTCGTCATGTGGCTCGTAGAACTCCTGGCTGATGTTCACAGAATCGTGATCACCGATCCGTGAATACGCCAGAAAGTCACGAAACCGGTTCATCAGCTAGGCTCGCAGCACGTCGTAGTATTGGTACCAAGTAATGTAGTAGGATAAAGATGGAATTATGATCAATATGAAATAAATATTCGATATCAAGATGATACATCGCTTCGCTTGCTTTCATTTTCCTTTGAAGATAGCTTCCAACTCTGCCCGACAGGGCCGACCCATGATCAATAAAGCGGAGCGGTCCATTCTTTAACGCCCGGACTAATGGCAACATGCGAGCGTAACTAGGGAGGTGAATCCTTGACGAGTATTCAGGCCTAAAAATCCAAGCCCAGCGGGTTCGGCTGGCAGGCACCAACTCGGACGATTCATGAACCGACATGAGATTACCGTTGGCCCTCTAGACAAAGTACACTCACACGACATTGACAAAACCAGCACGTTCTGACCTAACCAAATCCTGCCCTTCCAAGTATCCTGGCGGGCTTGGACTTTCGTCTTGGTAGCTTGGTAGTCTCTCCACAATCCACCCTGGAGCAATACTCTGATCATCGGCCATGAACACCCGATAGGTCAACCTTAGGATTTTCCCAACGCCCGTTCGGATTGCCAAATGAAGTTGTCCCCGCGGGAAGTGCTCTTTGACAAGCACAAGCTCGATGACTAGTGCATGGGTCACCTCGGTACCGTCAAGGCTCTTGGTATCGTGGTTGTACGTATGGTCGGGGGCGTTGGAGCGCTGGCAAATGCCGAAACCAAACACCACTTCTGCACTTCCCTCAGCATTACATTCTTTCCATGCATCATATACGCCATTTTCGCCAAGCGTTCGGGATATCCTGCGGACAAGGTCCTCGCTTCCGCTCTCGGGCACTGAGCACCGGTGCCGCTCGCAGGGGATCGCAATGGCTTCAATATTTTCCTCCAGCCTCCAAGCCCCCTTCCATAATCGCCAAATATAGTCGTTCTCGCCATTCCCGGGAGAGACGAGGAGGCCCGCCAGCGAAAGACAGACGTTGTTGACGCCGGCAGGGCGAATAATAGGTTCGATTGAACTTTGGACGCGGATTCCTGAGGCGGGGAAATCCCGAGTCGCTTGTAGAGGCCAATTTTCTATGGAAACATGGCGCCTGACTGTCAGGGCTCTCTTGAAGGATACAGTTCGTGGCATGCTAGTCGGTATGATTTGAGACTTGAAGTGGATTTCGGCGTGGAATTCGTAGGCAACGGAGAGTAGAGGTGAGTTCATCGAGGCTGGTAGGTGATCTGGTATCAGGGTGGAGAACGGAAATGTTCGAATGCCGCTCTGTAGGACAGTACTTTGGTCCAGAAAGGACCAGTAATGAATTGCAGAGTACTGGTCCTTGCACTTCGCGCAGCGATTCTTGGCCGGCTTCTTCTGGACGGTGTGGACATTGAGGACAGCGGTGAAGCGGCTGATCTCCACCGGGGGTCCGTTGATTATCAGGAAAAGCTTTCCGGACAAAAATGATGGCAGACTGTTCGGAACGGTCCTAAGGACGATATTTTGCGAACTCTCGATGTCCCAATCCAGCGAAACTGCCGAGGCTATGCGAGAACTGGATACATTGGTCAAAGTGAGGTTTCGAAGTGGACTCACAAGATTAGCCAGGTCAGGCATTTCTTTTAGACGTTGGCACGCTGTGTTCAACATAAACCTAGTAGACAGTAGTCGAGTCTGTCACGGGTAGGGTCTTGCTCGACGTGGCTCTGAAATGGAATGGGATGGCGTTGAAGTATCACTGCGGATATTGGGGTGTCTTCTGAAGCAAATAGCAAAGACTGCCTGTGAGAGTCTGGCATACGGTCTAATATATCAAAGCTGGGATGAGCAGCAATGGAGAGAACCTCTTCTGAGGACAGCTGGTGCATAATCCCGGGGTCACGCTTCCAATCCCAGAATCACTGCACCGGGCCAACGTGAGCAGAGCTGCGGAAGCTTCACGTGTCGGAAGGAACGCTCGAGTAGGCCTAGTGTAATTTTTGTTCTTCCCCATATGTGAATCTCTATGGGGCTTAGGTATGTATAGGAAGCCCCGGGAACGATTTCGTCGCCTGGCGTTCTAGATGTGGGTCCGATCCAGTGAGGACTGGGTGGACTTGACGCATTTACGCGCCCTAAAAGACTCGTCAGTCGACAGAGTTTATGCACGGCATGCGTCTTGGCTGCCTATTTGAGCTTTGAGTCGAGACAAGCATTGATCAGCAGATTAGCAGCAGGTTCCACGATGATTCAGCAGCTTAACATTGAATGTATTTCTCGCAAGGATATTGCTGACTAGCGGCTCAAGTCCGTCACGCTGCTCTTTGAACCGTCGTTGTCTATATTATGAGGACTTCCAGCTTGTCAACAGCGATGCTCTGTAGATTATGGTATTCTACATACTCACACAAACAGTCTTCTATACTTCTACACATCCAAAATGCCACCAGTGGTACATTGCGTCCGCCATGGGCAGGGCTTTCATAACGTCGGTGGCGGATGCTACACTCTTCCCGACCCTCGCTTGACACCCCTTGGTGAAGAACAAAGCATGGCTTTGGGCAGGACAGCCTTCGCCGACCAGTCAAGAATATCTCTTGTTCTGGCTTCTCCGCTTTGCCGAACCCTCCAATCTGCCCATTTGCTGTTTCAATCGGCCCTTACATCCAGCAGCAAGTGTCATTCTGAGATTATTGCAATCCCTGATGCTCAAGAGACCTCGGATGACGCGTGCGACGTTGGAACCGATCCATCAGTTCTCCGCAGAGTGGTGACGGAGAGCAAGTGGCCTGTCGACCTCTCTCTCGTCAAGGACGGCTGGAACGTGAAAGCTCTCGGGACTCGTTACAGCCCAGAAAGTAACGCCATAGCATCCCGCGCACGGAACGCCCGCATTTTTATCCGAGAGAAGATTCGCCAATTTATCGAACAAGGCGACACAGAGCCCCAAATTGCGCTTGTGGCACACGGAGGTTTCCTGCACTACTTCACCGAGGATTGGGAGGACTCATGGCTGAACCCTGGGACGGGATGGCGCAACTGCGAAGCTCGGTCGTATGTATTCAAGGAGGACGTCATGAACGATGCAGATGTCGAGGCCAGGCTCACGGAGACGATGGACAGTCGGTTGACGAGAGGAAAGGGAAGTCCTATGCCGTCTGTGGACGAGCAGGTCGTGCTTTTTGAGCAGGCGATGGAGAATTGGGGAAGCCAAGGGCTGCAAAGACCCGACAGAATCGGACTGGGCCTCATGACGAGCGCCATGGCATGTACATGAATTAATCATAGGCAATCTCCGCTACATTTCCGAAGAACCTATCTGTCTGATCATTTCGCTGCTGATCGATCACCTTAGTGTCGAACAGATCCTCCACGCTTGATCTGAGCTCAGTACCATCCACTGCACAAAGACCTGGAAAGCTTTTGAGGCATTTATCATCTTGCGCCAGTTAGTAACGTCCGTTGGCTGCATCCTGTCAAGTCCCCAGAAAAACTGATTATCTCGCGTACGAGTTTTTTGTATGTGAGCCTTCCCTTCTCATCGATGCTCCAAAGCATCAGGCTACGATAAACCGCGATCCACAGATGGCCGTGATGGAGCATATCAGGTCTTACCCTAGCCAATGAAGAGCTATCAAATTCACAAAACTAACTGGTAGATGCCAGATATGGGTCTTAGCATGGACCTTAGCATATTCCGGACGAACCTTGAACTATTCAGGAGGCTGAGAGATCGATCGTCACTAACCCTAGATAGGCAGCCAAGACGCAATTCATGCATTAGCGCCGTGTCAAGTAGCTACGTCGAAAGTCAAGCAAGCAACAGCGCTGACCCATCCAATTCGTTGAAGGTTTGTGACGATATGGAGACTCTGGAGTTTTTGCGCGCGCTGATACTCGTCTGGCAAGTTGTGGGTGATGGACTCAAGCCATCAATTGTCCGAAAATTCACACGTCCAGATACTCTGATTACAAATGTAGCAACCATTCGGCCACAGATTAATAAGATGCCTTCCATGTGATGCTTATGGCCAGGTCTCTTATTGTTACATGTCTCTTCATAATCATTGGCCGTTACATATTAGACAATGGCACACCCGTCGCTACCTTCATCGCCGCATCAGCGAACCACCAGCGAGACCTCAGCGACATCGACTATGCTTTCGAGAAACTGTAACCCCAGGGCTCACGACGAAGGTGTCAACCACTCACCAGACGACAATCCTTCACCGAATGTCCATGACAATGCCGAAGTCATACCCGTCGTCGTTGACGAGTCGCTTCAAGCACGAATTGAGCGCCTCGGCCGCGAACGGCCTCCAATCTTTACAACCCGCTGGAGCGAAATTATCTTCGTCTTCAGCATCTCCATGTCTCAATTCTTGACAGAATACTTCGTCTCGGGATTCACTGTCATCCTTCCAACATTGATCACGGAGCTCAATATCCCGCAAGCAGCCAGTGTGTGGCCAGCGACTGCGTTCTCCCTCGTCATCGCCAGCACCTTGCTCGTCTTTGGCCGCCTGGGTGATATGTGGGGAGGATATCCCGTCTTCGTGGCGGGCCTCGCCTGGCTTCTTGTCTGGAGTGTAATAGCCGGGTTCAGTATCAATCCACTGATGCTCGACCTCTGCCGGGCCCTTCAAGGATTAGGAGCTGCGGCAGCCCTGCCAACCGGAGTCATGCTCATGGGATCGTTGTATCGTCCTGGACCACGAAAGAATCTCGTCTTCGCAGTATACGGCACTTCGGCCGTATTCGGGTTCTTTGGTGGCATCCTCATGGCAGGCATCGTCGGTCAATTCACGCGCTGGGGCTTCTACTTCTGGATCGGCGCCATCCTGACGGCAATCACGCTGTTGGCTTCAATTTTGTCCATTCCGCGTCCCCATTCGAAAGACCGAGCCTCAAGCATGGCCAAGATGGACTACCCTGGTGCCGTCACGATCGTCTGCGGCCTCGTCCTGGTTGTATTCTCCATCTTGCAGTCAGCGCACGCTCCTGCAGGTTGGAGAACGCCATACATTCCAGTTTGCCTCGTCCTTGGTGTCTTGTCATTGGGTGCTGCAGCCTACATCGAAACGCACGTCGCTGCTCAGCCTCTCCTGCCAGCTTCAATTTTCACGACCCCCTGCATGAGCCCTCTGCTTTTGGCCCTCTTCCTGCTTTACGGCACGTGGGGTATCTTTTCTGTCTACGGTACACTCTATTTCCAGAACATCATGTCAGCGAGCCCGTTGCAGGTGGTGGCGTGGTATGTCCCTCTCGGAGTCGCAGGCCTCATCATCAGTGTCGTCGAAGGCTTCATCTTGCATCTGGTTCCAGGACGTGTGCTGTTGATTATCGCCGGCCTGGGCGCCGTAGGGTCACAGCTTCTCATCGCCATGATTCCGCTCGGAGGGAGTTACTGGGCATGGATCTTCCCTGCAGTCATCTTCAGCACCGTGGGGATCGATCTGCCCACGATCCTGGCGACAGTCTTCGTGACCACGACGTTTCCCACCTCGCAGCAGGGGCTGGCGGGAAGCGTTATCAACTCTGTGCTGCAGCTGGGTGTGGCTTTCGTCCTTGCTTTGACGGACGTCATCCAGGCGGCAACAGTAGACGACGCAGGATTGAGGAAGAGCTATAAGAACACCTTCTGGTTCGGAGTAGGTGCTGCAGCTACGAGTCTCTTGATTCTGGCCATCTGGGGGAAAGTCCCGAAGGCCAGTAGTGATTTGACTGCGGATGAGAAGGCTGAACTTTTGGAAGAGGCGATGACTGAGCAGCGAAGGCAATCAGTCACCGGGGGCTGTACTCTGAGCGATGCATGATTCCAAATGCCGATCTCTGCTTACGACTTGGTGCCAGACAACGTGGTCTTTAAGTGTTGGTGACACCGAGAATCGCTCTCATGATTGTAGCAGCTATCTGACAAGTCCCGGTAGCAGGCATTCAATATTGACCACTACGTTGATAGATCATCCGGAGTTGCCTTTTCATCATGCAACCAACCAGTCGGTGCCTATGCTTTTCAGCTTCTCGACCCAGTTCCAATTCCTTTGCTGTTCGTAGACTTCGTTGTTTCTGCTCTTGGTGGCATCTTCATTCTTTCTCCCATCCCATATTGTCGTCAATGCTCCGAGGGCCTCTCTGGTGAGTCCCCAAGGCTCCAACTCCCAGAGGTCTTGGAATCTTCTTACCACCCAAGCACGGTTGGTAAGGTCAGCTATTTCCAGGCCAGCAACGAAAGCTGGCCACGCCGTTGCTGTGAATAATGCATCTCCGGGTTGCATACATGAAAGGTGAATGATGGTTTCGGCTGCGAGGGCTTCCAAATCATCCGGCAATACTGTGCTGGGCCATAGAGCAAGAATGATGCGCGACAGATAGACACACACAGCTCCCTTGTGTGCAGAGGCAATTTCAGTCCGATGGAAGAGATCGTCGGCCGGTGAGCGTGGCTGTAAATTGATGGCCCAGACAGCGGGGTCGAACGATTTTGCAGCATGCAAGAGATGAAGGGCACCGTATCGTCGCGAATCGGCCAAGGTATCCGGAGACGTAGAATCATCATTCATCTTTAACAGCTGAGCACCTGCCTGCATTATAGGAAGGAGGGCTGCCGGGAACGACGAGCAATGATTGCCTTCTGCATCTTGAAGTAGTGACATGGTAGTCGTCGATAACCCACCACTGTGCGGTAGATAAGAATTTGCGAATGATGACCCAAGAAGATCATACCTAGTACATGTCAAGCCACGGGCCATCAAGTATTGGGCACAGGATGACTTACACCAAGCAATTTGACATCAGCCAGCGGCGGAGCGGGCTCAAAGTCGTCTCCGTTGCTACGGCAGACGCGACCAGCTTCTCAATTATGGTTCTCGCACCATTGATGTGGAATATCCAGCTGCCTCGCCCTGTGTCAATGAGCTCGAACCCAATGAGGAGAAGCACTGAGGCGAGAATTGCGTCAACATCTGCCGGAGCCATGGTTTCGAGAGCAGACTTCAACAGCAGAATTGCCTGCTGCTTAGCCCTGAGCGCGTCATGAAGAATCTCCGGGTGAGTTGCCAGACATGGACCGATCGATCGAGAGCTCGGCGAGCTCGTGCTGCTTCGAGGCGAGTTTGTCGACGTAGAGATACATGAAGACCTTGATGACTGTTGAAACGTGTTTGACATGCGCAACGCTGAAGCAGCAATGATCGCCTGGAACAAGATGGGCTTCTGGTACGCCATTGGAATCAGGTCACGGAATGGATTGTGTTGGGGGCTGTCGTAGAGAACGAGATCCCTGCAAACAACATGTGCAACTTTTGCTGACATTAGCATGAAGAAAAGTCAAGCAGGAGAGGCAGCCTACAATAGTCCAGATATGTCCTCGACCGATAGTCTAGGTCTTGCGCGAACGGATCTGTTAATGAACGTGGAAGCGAACAAGGAGAGGTTGGCTGAGAGCTCGCTAATGGGGGCTGCCCTGTAGACAAGATTGCATGCGATGGCGCTGGTAGAATCGACGTCGTGGTTGCCTTCTGGATCTTCATCATGCTGTCGGATGTCACGCCGACCATTTTCCCACGACTCGCCAGGCCCTTCTCCCAACGCAACAGAGTGCCATAGCCCAAGCATGTGCGACCACTCTTGGTGCATTTCAGGCAGTGCGGAAGGGATCGGTCACATCTCAATCGGCTGCGCCTGCAATTGTGGCATGCCCCTGGCCTTGCACTCATGGCTAGGCTGAAATCCGGACGAGCAAACACTTAGTAGTCGTTGCGAGGAAAGGGGGTCCTTGCGGATTGTTGCGATCGGTACGATGGATATAGCGCAAGGGCCTGGGAGCAGCGAAGATGGCGTAGGTAGACGGGTGATTTAGATGTCCCAGAAGTGAGGCGTTGTCGAGGCACTGTACGGTGACAGCCGCATGCGGGTGCATGCAGGCTTATTGAGTAGGCGATCGGCAGACCTATTGTCGTTGTGACGAAGATGTAGGGCCCCGGCTCGCAGGCAGAAGGGTTGTCAAGAACGTGGGTCCTTAGAAGATGATGGCGTTGATAGCCTGTCATAGATGACAGTCGCCTAGCTAAGACGGGGGGGGGAGCGATGTACTTACCAGGAGTTGACGTGAGGTGTACCTACCTACGTAAGTGCACGATCAGGTCGGGAAAACAGGGTATGCAGGTATGCAGATATACCCCATTAAGCTAGATTTGCGACTTAGCGAGTCTGGACACGCTTCGCTTGTCATCGACGACTGCGTAGCCATCTGAATTCCTTTACCTGAGTGTGTACGTAACTTTACCTTGAGGTACCTTAGGTAGGTAATTAAAAACTCCGCTGACTGATATATGTATTCGACCTGATTGCCGAACGTGACGAAATCCGAAGTGAACCAGAAAAATCATGTCCTCTTTTTCAGCACCTACCTTACACAAACAGCACATCTAGAATTCTTTTTCATCAGCTTTCATCAATTGCCTGAACAGCATTGTCGTTGCCACGAGTATCGAGCCATGGCGCAGTCGCTTCGTTTGCGGCCCATGCTTGCCTGTCAAGAGGTTTAGATGTCTGATCGTCTCCTCAGTTCCAGGATCCGGTCAATACCTCCAGCTAACGAGCAACATCACGGCATCGTCGCAATGGAAGCATTTCTGTTCTATAGCTGGACTTTTCTCAAACTCCTATTTGGTTCGCCATCGCCTCACGACCAGCTTGACCTGTTTCACCACCCATATCACTACATCGATGGTACTATTTTGGTGCAGTCGCTCGAGCCTCCTTTTCCCTCCTCCACTCGGGCCCGTACCGCACAATGACCCACAAGGCCGGCGACAACACGGCACACAACAGGGCCAGAAACGTAAAGGACCAACCCCTCCCCATCCCCATGATCATGTACTCGATCGACGCCGTCCCCGCCGCGCCCATCAGACAGCGCACAAGGTTGTTCGCCGCCGTGGCCGTCGCCGGCGCCTTGGGATTCAGATCGACGATCAGCGTGTTCATGACGCCAAAGGACCCCGTGATGGTCAGGCCGATGAGGAACTGCAGCACCAGCGGCACGGCGACGCTCGTCTCGAGGTGGAGGACCCAGCCGTAGACGGCGAGGACGACGAGGCCGCAGGCCAGCGTCGGGAACACGGGCTGCAGGCGGGCGCGCTCGATGGGGAAGTGGGTCAGGTCGTCGCCGCGCTTGCGGTCGATGGCGAAGCCGACGCGGCGGGCGGTGCGGCGGTAGTTCCAGTCGAGGATGTAGCCCTGGGCGACCGAGGCGATGCAGCAGCCGGCGCCGTAGGGGAGGTAGCAGAGGCCGAGCTCGAGGTCGGAGAAGCCGTAGATGAGCTTGAAGAGGGTGCCGAGGGTGGCCGAGACGTCGATGAAGGCGACGTAGAGGATGCTGTTGTAGAAGAGGATGAGCGCCATCTCGCGGTCGAAGATGATGCGCACGGCGCGCAGGGGGTTGGGGAACCGGAGCCGGGGCCGGGGCGGGTCCGTCGGCTGGCGGGGCGTGCCGCGCGTGCGTAGCGTGTCGAGAAGGGTCTTGTTCCAGCCCCGTGGCGTGATGGACCCGTTGCCGACGACGTTGCGGCATGTCTCGGGAACGGCGAGGGCAAAGGGGACAAGCCAGACAACGGAGAGGATGGCGCAGAACCAGAAGATGGCGGACCAGCCGAGGAACTCCGTCAGGACGCCGCCGAGGATGGGGCCGAGGGTAGGGCCGATGTTGATGCCGGCACCGACGAGGCCCATGTACTTGCCGCGCTCGGAAGAGGTGGTGATATCGGCGACCATGGCGAAGCCGAGGGCGATGGCGCCGCTGCTGCCGCCAGACTGCACCATGCGGAGGACCAGTAGGGCGACATAGTTGCGCTGCAAGGCGAGACCAATGTTGGCACAGAGGTAGATGGCGAAGGCAATGAGGTACGCCGGGCGGCGACCGGCCATGTCACCGAAATCACCAAAAATGGTAGGGGAGATGGCCTGGAGTATCATGTAGGAGGTCACCGTCAGGTTGATCAGCGCGATGGTGACGTCAAGGTCTCGAGCAATGGGCTCAAGAACGGGATAGTAGATGTTGGCGGTCATGGGGGAGACAAAACTCGCAATGGACACCATGAAAGTAATCCACTTCTTGGTGCGCGGATCGAAGGTGCTATAGGCCGGCCCGCTGGGAACACGGGCGACCGTTTCGGGTCTTCGACGGGAGGTTCATCGTGGGTGATGGCAGCCGTGGTGGTCATGATAGCTGCGATGACGATAAGGCATGCAATTCACTGGGGCCTTTCCGCTTATATTCCGTCCATCTTGCACTGCGATGCTTGGAAAAGCAGCCCTCGACGCTAGGCTTATCGCCGTGCCGGCCGGCCGGAAATAAAACGTCACCGCTGGGAAAAGCCTGCGTGGCTACTCCACTGATGGTCGTTTACAGGGGAGAGGTCCGCCTTATCCCCGGAACTATGTGAAGTACGCCGATGTTGTCCGTGTGAGTGATCCAGTGTTGAGTTTGTAGGTGATGCAATTACAAGCCTTGCTTGCGATAGGATAGGCCTATATCAAGACATTATTCGTGGTACCAGGTCATGGTTGCTCAGGTTGTCGATCAACACTAGAGCCGCCTTCGAAAAAGCTTGTTTCACTCAAGGTCACAGTACCAAGTATACTTTTGCGTGGAGGCTTTTCGACCAGTTTTTGTGAGACTTCACGGCAGACGTTGACCTGTCATTGAGAATACTGATGCAATTCAAATATTGATTTTGCATTGG